GCTCCCGTTGCCCCTCCGGGACAGGTGTGCTCCATTATGTTGTTAGGCAGGGCAACAGCCAGAAAGCTCGTGCAGTGAGGGTACACGGCCACCAAGACAGCACAGCAGAAGGGAGCACGGGGTCCCGGGACACTGGCAGAGACACAAGAGATGCAGAGAAGGAAGGGGCTAGTGAGGAGGGACAGGATTTTGGCAGGAGAGTGTGTATGTGCAGTGGGCATGGGATCTGATGGGAGGGGAGCACAGGTGTGGAGATGGGTGTAAAGGACTGGCCTGTGACCTTCAGGCTAAGCCTGGGAGTGGTGTGGGGCCTTCTGGATCCTTGGGTCGGCTGCTTCTGCTCCCAGATATCCCATCCCTACTGTTTGGGTTCATTCCTGTGCCCTTCCCAATCTCACCCCCTACCCCTCTGCCCCTAGACCTTATTTAACCCCAACAAGACTGTGGTGAAGATGTTCTTGGTGACATACGACTTCCAGGATATGCCAGCCAGCCACATGACCTTTCTACGCCATCGCATCTTCCTGGTGCCTGTGGGGGAGGAAGAGGGGGCCACCATGGCCTCCAGTGACCCACTGGGCACCAGCCCACCCCGCAGGGTCCTCTGCTACCTGATGCATCTAAGGTAAAACATGCTGTGAGAGAGAGCTGCCTGTCCCAGGCTCACCCCTGGGCTCTTCTCCCATGTGTCCCTGCCTCCCCCAAGTCTGAGGAGAGAGCAGAGGGTGGCAGCCTGATTCTTTCACCCTGGGAAGGAGCAGGGACCGACTGCTTTTTTGGGAGGTTGAGCTGCCACCCTGCCCAGGGGCAGCTGTTTCTGTCCCTCTGAAGGCAACTGGTACAGGGCCACCTTGACCAGGGGTCAACGTAGTCAAGGGGTTTATGCCCTGACTGAGGCTCTCCTGCCATTGCCTGGGAGCCTGACGACCCTCTGCCCTACTCTCGTCTCCACTCAGGTTTCACAGCTCCAAGTCGGGGAAGATCTACCTTAATGATGACATTCGGCTGCTTTTCTCCCGCAAGTCGATCGAAGTTGATTCGGGGATCTCCTATGAACTGAAGTCCTTCACAGAGATGCCCAGAAACCCTTGCTACTCACCTCGGGCCTGACATTCTTCACTCCCCAAGGGCTGCTGGAGCACCTCCAGCCCAGCACTTTGGGAACAGATGAGCAAAGGGCCAGCAAACAAGCAGTGCTTTGAGATACCACCCTCCCTGTGCATCCTGACCAGCATGGACACCATGCCCTGCGGCACGGCTGGGATCACTGAAGGGACTTCATCAAGAGGGGCAGCCCAGGCACCCCAGGGACATGCCCAAGCCTTCTGCTGGTGCTGCTCCCAGCTTGGAGGTTTGGCTGTGCCTGGGGGTGGGGGAGTGAAGAGTTGGGCTGGGGCTGTGGGCAACACCACCCATGCTGGTACCGGGGCTGGGAGCAGAAGGTGTGGAAGAGTTTTGTATTTATTAGTATTTATTGCTGCTGGGAGCACAGAGGAGGCTTCTGCAGAGGACCGGAAGTGCTGTGCTTGTTCTTCTCCCCAACTCTGTCAGCATGGGGCTGCCCATGTTGTGGCAGGGCTGAGGGGACTGTCAGGATGACTTGGGGATAGGTCACTTCAGCCTGGGAAGGGAGTGACCCAGCTGTTGGCCAGGGTGCAGCTCTCAGGCCAAGGCTGTGTTAAAGCACTGGGAGAGGCTGAGCCTTGCTGGGCACCAGCTCTGTGGGGACAGACCCACTCCAAGCAGCTTGGGGAGGTATGTGGTTGTCCTGATTGGAAGCTGGCGAGTGTCACACCAATTCACAAAAAGGGTTGCAAGGAGGATCCTGGAAATCACAGGCCTATCAGCCTGACCTCAGTATCTGGTTTGGTCCAACATACTCTAGCTAAGGAAATTTCATCAACCAAGTTTAGACTAAGCCTTGCTTTTTTAAAAAGGAGGAGCTGTATTTAAATACCAACCCCTTCCTAGCAGCAGGGTGTAGTCATCTTTCCTGCCTAGTGGATGAGGGAAAAGCTGTGGATGTAGTCTACCTGGACTTCAGCAAAGCCTTTGACACTGTCTCCCATAGCACACTCTTGGAAAAGCTGGCAGCCCACAGCTTGGACAGGTGCACTCTGCTGGGTTAAGAACTGGGCTGGATGGCCAGGCCCAGATGGTGAATGGTGCCATATCCAGCTGATGGCTGGTCACTAGTGGTG